GCACATGTAAACACATAAAAGGGTAGATAACACACACACACACAATAATCCAAAGGAACTTCAAAATGTCATGCATGTTTGGGCAAAATTTACAATACCAAAAGTCATTCCAAAAGCTCAAGCATCAACTATCTTGTCATTGTCTTTGCTAGAACTTGGACCTAGCATGTTAGTTAATGATTTGGGGAGTGAGATTGAGACAATCTTAGTAGTAATTTATACTTTATAGATTATATAAGAATTTACCCAAGCATATTAACATACAAACATTACAACAAAAACCAAACAAATCAACTAGGAAGTAGCAAGCTTAAACCCTTTACTTGGAAGCTACATACAACATTAATCTTGAAGAGGATTTTTGTAACATGCAGAATTTTTAATTCCTACATTAATGCTAATTAAGAAATGAATTAGTATGATTTAATATGAGGTTAGGATTCTATATAGTGAAATGTTTTGACTTTTTGGGATGCTATATGAATAGATATGAGTAAAAGAATGGCATCCTAAAGTGGAACGTGTGAGTATAGTGATGATTTCTCTCACTGTGCCTGCACCACAGCTAAGGCTGGATGCACCGCAGCGCATGATGCAGAATTTTGATAAGTTGGATGTGTTAGCTCATAAAAAATAGAAGAGGAAAATAGAGAAAAGGGATTAGGCATGGAGAAGAGGTGGTCCCCTGCTAGGGTGAGCAATTTTAGGAGCAAAGATGGTGTTTCTGACTTGTTACTTATCGGATAAGTTTTGTACTGCTTTGACCTCTGAAATTACCATATTATCTCTTGGTTTAAACTATTGAGAAACTGAATTAGAAAGTTTTAAAGAGTTAATTTCTTCCCTTTTAATAATAGAAAGGTTCTCTAGAGCTAATAGGGAAATGATAATGATTAAGTGCTTGATTACTATAATTGGCACTTTCAATCAATAAGAAGACTGACTCTGGGTGCCTTAATTGTGTAGATTCTCATTTGTGATGTGTTGAAGTTGCGAGAAGAAGTTTGAGTGATGTTTTAAAACACGAGGAAAACCTTTCTTACAAATAGAAGGGTTAAGGTAACCATATAATTTGTTATGTTCTTTAGCTATTATAACTGTGTGGAGTGAATATGCATGTGCAAAGCTATGATTTTGATGATTGTGCTTTCGGTGCATGATTTTACATTACTAATGATTTTGGCATGCATCATGATTTAGGAATGTTTACAAAACTTATATTGGATTTCAAATTGTAATGAATGTATTTATATATGAGTATATAGTGGAAATTATGAAAGTAGTGATTGGTATGTGTGAAAAGCATGATCATAAGGGGTGAAAGTTTACCTAGGGTATGTGTAGGGGTATGTGTGTTGAGATGGGTGTAAATAAATTCATATGGTTGGGCTGGCACCATAAGACATCTGGTGCAACATTATACAAGCTAGTACCATGGGTAATTTGGTACAACATTATATTAAGACTATTATCATGGGATATTTGGGCAATCTTACAACTCTCTAGTACCCGTTAAGGTATGATTAAGAGTCAATGACACCTTTATCATAAGTGTGTGAAATGAGAGAAACCATAGTCTGTAGGTGGGATAGATTACTTTTGGCTGGCTATTTCTACCAGTAAAGGTGCACTTAGGTCAGTATGCGATTGATCTAGGAGAGCCTATGGTTTCATGTCGGGCAGCTTAGAGGCTTGGTGGATAGAAGATCATGCTATTGTTGTGAATGTGTGGAAACACTTTTGAAAGAAGAAATTCTATATTTACTTTTGATATATAAACTACTACTTTAGTTTTGTTGCTTTAACATGGTTATTTGTGTTAATGGACATTAAATAAGCTATACTAGTTACTGAGATTTTGATCTCACCTGTGGTTATTTACATTTTTCAAGTTCTAGTAGTAGTGGTGGAAAGTGGAAAGACTTGGGTCAAGAGTAGAGATTTCTCTATATCACCCATTATAAGAATTGTTGTGTGTATGGTGGTTTTGATATCCTAGCCTAATGTGTGTACATATAAATGTGGTGGAAATGACATTTTGGGCTAGTGGTTAAATACATGAGCATTTGGTTATATTGTATATGTGTATGTGTCAAATTTGGCCTTAGGTATAAATAAGGTTGAGAAATATGAAATATGCCCAAAGTGTGTGTTGGGGCAGTTTATAGGCCAAGTGTGTGTACTTGTAATATATTGTTTATGTAACTACTCAGTCAGGTGTTATTTGTTCATTTGGATGTGGTCAAAGCCTTAAAAGAGGCTAATGATATATGGTTTCGATTGGAGATGCTCAAGTGAAAAATTTTAACATAAAATAGTTAAAATACACTTGGGTGTCTAATTTTTGAATGGGATATTAGATTTAAATGAAACTAGTATCATTAGTTAGATTTTGAAATAAATTTCGTGCGGCCAATTGAATAACCCCAATCAAACATTGGGTGTGAAAACGGAACACATCCAAAGTTCACATTAGAATCTATAATTTGACAGTAGATTTTGATATATGCACCACGGTGCATGTGTCAATGTGAACACATGCCACAGTGCATGGTACAGAGTGTGGTGCTTATGCTTCCACACCATATCCTATGATGCATGTAGCACGGGCCACAGCGCATGGCCCACTTTTTAGGTGAATTTTGATAGTTTGAATTGCTCTTTAATATGTTTATTCCTAATACTTCTACTGTATAGTGTTTTACAATTCAAATATTTTATGAATTAGTTTTAAAAATGATTTATTTGGGATCCCAAGCTTTCAAAGTAAATGATTTTGAATTGATTAATAGATTGCGTGGAAGGTTGTATGGTAATATCATTGAGGGCATTATAATTTTCGGTTAGTGTTTTCCACAAACAAAATGCCAAGCATTATCACAACAACATGCCATTATACTCAAGCAAATAAGTATATAAAGAGCAAAGCATAAGCACTACCTCAAATCTTAGCTAGCACAACTTGCCCTTTTTCTTCCTTGATGATCGAGCCCCTCCTTCATTCCTCTCCTCTCTTTTCTTTTCTCTCTTCACCTCTCTCTCTCTCAGTTTCTGCAAGAGCAAAATGAGCTATCAAATGTAAATAGAGGAAATTAATTCATCCTCATCATCACTTAGGCTTTCTACAAGTTGATACCTATCATCTCCTCTTCTCTTTGTATTGCCAACACACCAATCGTTACTTTTTTCTCCCATGATGACATCATCCTAAACCATCAACTTTTCTATACTTAAGCATTTTAAGTTCTATTTAGCAACTAGTTTCTTCTCTCAATTTCTTTCCTATGATGACATCATCTTAAACCATTAATCTTTTCTACACTATAAGACTTTAAGGCCCAATTTCAGCTACCTATTTCCAGTCAATCACAAGTCCTAATTCATATTCCAAATTGTTTAGACATTAAGGATTAAGTCATATTACAAGGAACTTAAAGTATGACAAATATTTTATGACACTTCTAATTTACTTAATTTTTCAATTATTCCCATTATATACTTCATTTATTTGTTTATTTAATTACTATTTTATGCTTATTTAATTATAATAATAATCAAGCAATCAGCTAAATGAAAGTACTATTAGTAGGGATGTTACATTGTTAACCCAATTATTCATTATAATTTTGTGAAATTCAATAAAATAAAAAGAGAAAATGACAATTAGGGACCCTATAAGAATATTAATTACAATTATATACCTTGAATTATTTAAATCCTAATAACAAACCATGATCCTTACTTATAATAAAATATCTTTTGTTGATTGACTTGAGATTTATGACTAACTTTTATAAATTCTCAACTATCATTACAGAGATTTTCGAGTATCCTTTATTATGGATTTTCTAAGTGATTTATATATATATTGACACCAAAAAAACACAAGTGATTAACTTGTGATTTACAATTATTCTCACAAATTCTCAATTGACATTAGTTACAAATAATCCCAAGTGTATTTTTATAAATTTTCAAGCGATTTATCTATATATTAACAGCAAAAAGTCATAAGTGATTGGCTTGCAATTATAATTAATTTTTATAAATTCTCAACTAACGTTACAAATAATTCCAAATACATTTTGTTGATTTTCCAATTCACTATTACTATTTTTTTTAAATGCAAGTAAAGATCATTGTCTATTATTGGAATTTCAATAATTTAGGGTAGATCTTTAATTGTAATTAATATTCCTATGGGTCCCTATTTGTCATTTTCCCTAATAAAAAGTGTTACATGAAAGTAACACTCATCCGCTCATAATTGAAAATTAGAATACAATGTAGGATATATATTAATATATAGAGAGAGAGAGAGATAGCTTAAAAACTTAAGTTTTATGCAGCTTAATTAAAAAATTTAGGTGGCATTATGATTAATGAATTTTGATTTAAAATATTGCATCTTAAATCTCACATTTAAAATTTATGTACTTAAAATATTGATTTAAAATGTTTGATTGTTTAAAAAAAATTCAAGTGCAAAAAGGTAGATTGAAATTCAAAACAAAAATAGAAAATTAGAAATGATGAGTTTATTCATATTTTTTAACCACTGAGAGATAAGAAAATATAATATAGTTATAGAGATATCAATAATAATGAAGACATAAAGAGAACTAAATATTTTAATTGACTAGAATTTCAAATGAATAAGGTGCAGAGAGAATATGAAGTTACAAAAGAATTATAATAAAAAATGGATAGATTTGAATTTAAACCAAATCAAAATTCATAAATTTTTGTATATTTAAATGAGGGATTTGGACAAAATCCAAATCAAAATTCTAATATCCATTAATCCAAACACACAATTAGTGATTAGAGCTGCAAAATAGTCATCCAAGAGGCGTGAACAACAGTTGGTGAAGCATCATCTTTGCATGCATGTACGTAGAAGAAAATTTGCGTCGTTTTCTCAGAATTTGGAGTACCCATTTCAAGATAAAACCAAAAGAAGAGATCGATATATCAGTAATAAATCAAGAAGCAAAGGGGTTATTAAACCTCAAAAATGGCGAGCAATAATATTGCAGTGTTAATGGCAATATCTCTGTGTATGATGCTGCTTCTTCTTCTTCCATCATCAGCTACTCCATTAGTAGAAAATCAAGACCTTGTTGCAGCCACTGAAGAGATGCAACGAGCTAATTACTTCACATTCGTGACACTTATCAATATGTCTCCACCAGATGCAAGACTTGAGGCCAACATTACGTTCTTGATGCCCAAGGATCGCATGCTCTCGAGAATGACGATGCCGGTAAGATCTGTTTCAGATTTCTTGCTTCGGCATTCGATCCCTTCGCCCTTGCTGATTGAAACCCTAGAAAAATTCCCTACAGGAACCACAATCCCCAGTTCACTGCCAAACTACATGCTTAGAATCATCAGCACTGGAAGGAAGAATTTTGTTATCAACAATGTGAAGATCATTAGCCCTAATATTTGTGTCGTAGGATCTTCAATTCGATGCCATGGCATCGATGGGATTTTGTCACAAGAAGCAGATGGATCATCAGTAAGAAACTCGTCGTCATCATCCAGTACTGTTCCTCCTCCTCCATCTTCTTCTTCATGTCCTGATAATAATAACAGCACAGAGTCTTCATGCATGGCTTCTTTATCACCTCCATCTCCATCTCCTATCAATAATGAAAATCTGAGTCCTCTTACATTGACAGCTCCTCCCGGTGAACCAGATTCTGGGACACAAAATTCATCAGGAGCTTTTGGTGGATCATCACTGAACTTTGTCACCACTTTGATGTTGATTTTCGCAGGCATTTATTTTTAATGGTCTCAGGCTTAATTCCATGCTTGGGTTGGATTATCAAATACTATATATTATAATTTGAAGAGGATATCGTTATTCATTAATTAATACAAAGATACTTTTGTTTTGAATCACAGACATCCAAAGAGAACTCAAATGCAGCGCTCCACGTAAGTCTAGTTTGGTTGGTGATTAATGAGGTGATTATTTTCATAGATACAAGATATATATGGTAATTTACTAATAATAATTTACCACCGACAAAGTAACACAAAGGGTAAGAATATAGAGCATGTTTCTTGATTATTATAGTGTACGTCATTCTTTCATTTGAAAGAAAAATTGAAAGGTGGGCAAAAATACTTAGAAATTTTTTTTCAAAAACATCAAATATCTTTAAGTGAATAAAGGTACAAGAATGCCAATGAATTTGTTATGATGAGTGCAAAAATTTACATTCTATTAAATTTGACTAACATCTGTTAATGTTGATTGTTAAAAAAAAAAAAGAAGAAGCAAACATAAGGTGTAAAAATACTCAAAAACTTTTTTTTCAAGAGCTTTTGGTATCCATAAGTCAACAATGGTGTATAGGTGTCCATTAACTTTATAAAAGAGGCCACATAGCTAAGTCTGGCCCTATCAATTCTAGGAGGAAGCAAATATATAAGGTGCATAACTTTTTCTTCATGAGCTTCTAGTATCTTTAAATCAAAAATGGTGTATATGTATCCATTAATTTTATAAAAAAGGCCATATAATTAATTCTAGGCCTAACAACTTAGATTTTTGTGGTTGAGCTGTCCCAAATCTCCAAATTATTAAATATTATTTTTATTTTATTTTTCTTTTCAGTCAATTTCAATTTTATCTTTTAAAATTAAGATTTTAATTTTTCTATCTAATTTAAATTTTATTTTATTAATAAGAAAAAAGAATTTGGGATATTCGGCTTAACCCTATTTGGTTTTGGAAATGAATCTTCATATTCATGGAAGTATATCAAATTTATATGTATGGGCCCAATCAAATAAAATGTGAACCACACAAGTATTAGATAAATTTAACAGTTGCATATGTGAGATGGTTCCATGTATGATTGTTTCCAATTTACAATTTGAAGTTTGCAAGATTGTTTGAATAAATGATTATATTGAGTGTACAATTTTCAAAGTATGCCATCAACACATTTCATTTTGAAAATGCTAGTGAAATTATATCTCAGGTTCTCAACAATTATAACATGTTTATTAAAAAAAAGCTAGTTGAAAGGCCTATTTTAGATATTTATCTAGCAAAACTATTTATGATAGCTATTTTAGATATTTATCTAGCAAAACTATTTATGAAAGCTATCATAGGAAGCTAGATCAATACTTTATGAGAACAAAATTTCTATTTGAGTGTTGACATATTTCATCTTATGTATTGCAACATTTATACATATTAAGCCAACAAAATTCTCCCACTACAATTGGCTTTCAGTCAAGAGTTAGATACTTTTCAAATTTGAATGTACAATATTTTATTTTATTATTATTCCACCACCCTAGATGGGTATTTGGAGTAAGTTACTGGTGTTAAAAACTCCTTCTAATTTGTTTCTAAATGAAACAAAGGAATATTTTCTAAAAGAAATGAATGAAAATAGGAGACTTATTCTATATGATAAGTTGATCATCAATTGACCAAGTTTTCTCAATTTAATGGTGAAAAAGACATTCATCAAACGCATTCATAAATCAGACATTCATAAAAGATTGCAAAATATTTGTAAAATACAATTACTGACCTAAATAAGAATTATTAAATCTTATATTCTAGCTAAAGATGTTCCAATCATTATAAAAGAAAATGAGACATGCCTAGAGTATGAGAGACCAATTGGTTAATTTTGAATATAAATATATCTTTACAAAAGGAGCATAAAATTAAAATGATAGTACTAAGGAGAAGAGATGGACCTACATACATCATAGAGGTGGCATTTGCTCGTACTAGATAAGGAAAAAAAATTAAAATTATAACACTAAAAAATTTCAATTAGGCCCCCAAAAACTTTCAATTACCCCACTAAAAAACTTATGTTCCTTAAAATTGTCCACTTCTCTCTCTAAAATTTATCTTATTCAGAAAGTTATCTATGTATCATAAACTTTTTTTAGCCAACATGTATAATAAACTTAAATAAAAATAGTTTTAGAATGGAGAAAGTAATATTTTTAAAAATAAATTTTCTAATTGTATAAATAATGATATACTATACAAAAGAAATTAAATAAATTCTTTAACAAAATAAAATTAATAAATATTATTTTATAATATTTATAAAAAAATTTGTATAAAGACATTATTATTTTTTCTATTATTACAAATTTTATCTTCAATTTAATTTAACAAATTAAAAATATTATATTTAAAAATATTACTATTTATTTTAAGTATAAATTTTGTCCCCATTAAATTTTTTTTTTTGGGCCTATCACTGCAAAGGAGGCATACACAATAGAAAAGAGTCAAGACAAATGATTTTGAGAACCCTTAAAGGGGTTCAAACACCTAAAAGTAATAAAAATATTTCAAAAAGTTATGTCACAATTGAAAAAATGAAATAAAAAACATAAAGTTGTCAACAACAATTTTGATGATAATATCAGTGATCAAATGAGGATTTTATACACAAATATATTATGAGTGGATAGAAAGATGATTGGTGAAAGGAAGAGGGAAAAAAAGTGACCCAAAGTAAGTAGAATTACATTTATTTTTGAATATATGAATATGGACCTGTAGTTTGAACACTTTAATTAGGATTTGACTTTAGTTTTAATTAGTTTCTTATTTTATTTAAAGTTTGAATTGCAAGGCTAATTAGTTTTCATTTTCATTCATAGCTTTAATGCTAATTCTCTTTCATTAGTTAGTATTTGATTTTGTTTAAGGGTTAAGTCTTCAATTTTTTGGAAAGTTTTTGAAGTCTTCCAATGAACTATTATTGCTAACGCTTCATGAATTAGGAAACCTTCCTAATTTATCTAGAGCAAATGCCACTTGTTGGAGGAGTCTTTTTTTTTTTTTTTTTAACACCAAACAAAATTCCCATAAAGGAAGTGAAAGAGTTTACAAATAGAATAAAGCAACAGCAATAGAAAATCAAAAGCCAAAAAGGCAAAGACCTTAAAGACAAAATGGACAAAACAAGAAAAAGCCAGCAAATCAACCAATTCCTTCTCTGTCTCGATTCATCACAGTTTGTTGAAATGAAGTCTCGGAATGATCAAAATCTTGAAAAGAAGACTGATGAGTGGGGGTGGTGGACAAAAAACCCATCCATGTGCATCTACTTCCTTTAAAGAGGAGGCTACCAACCAGTTAGCAGCAGAATTGCCATCTCGTTTTTATAAACGAGAAGGAGAGAAAGGACAAGGACTTCAAGATAGTTAATAAATCTTCCAGCAATCCATGGCAAGGCCACAAACAATATGATATATCTCTATGAACCAGGGCTCGAAAGAGATCAAGACAATCCATCTCAATGACAATTTTACCTTAACTGAAGTCCAAGGCTAATTGTACTGCTTTCTTTTTTACAAGCCAAAAGTTCAATTAAAATTCAGCCTCAACAACCTCACGCCAACCTTCAAGAAACATGCTAGAACAGTTACGAACGATAATACCTATGGCTGCCTTGTTAGTAGCTTGGGAGAAGGCTCCATCACAATTAATGTTGACTGTACTAGGCACCGGGGATTTCTTGACAGAATGCAAAACGTCAGAAGATAAAGCAATAGAAGGCACTGAGTGATTTATTCTACAAAATTCATCCACCGTTGCAGCTGTTGAAACAGGAATTTGGGTTAGGATTTTATTGAGTCTTCCATCCTCACTGCCAGAAAAATTAAAATTAGTAATAAAGATCCGTCACTAATTATAGGTGTTAGTAACAATTTTTGTAACATACTGAATGTGCCATTAATTACATAAATTAGTGACAAATTAGTAGTGGATATTGTGAACACCATATTTTATTTAAGCCTTAATAAATAAAAAAGGTAATATCCATAATAAAACAAAAAAGAGAAAATAATAAGAATGAAAATGGAAAAATATTTTACAACAAGAAAATATCAAAAAAAGGTTAAAAGGTATTGGATATGAAGATAATGAAAAAATTATATAATCAAGCTAGATCACAATATAATTATTTGAATAATCAAAATATAAAATAATATAATATAATGATTTGAAGATTTCAAGATGATCTAATAACTAATATTAAGATTTGAAGATTTTAAAATAATATAATAATCAGGATATAATAATAGGAAAGATAACAATTAATATCCAATCTCTAATAATAACAATAATATAAGAATATATAAAAATACTAATTTTGATCACGATAGGATTGAGATTTTAGAAAAACCGATCTATATAAATGAAAGCAAAGGTAGAGTAGAGAGAGTTAGATAAAGACTCAAGGAAGGAAGAAAAGAGGAGACAACATAACAGCAATCCTAATTGATTGAGTTTCATAAAGGTAAGTCCACCTTCCCTTAAATTATAAATATGCCTGTACATTGGTAGAAGATTTCAAAAAGTTTAGTCTTAAAAGCTTTAAGTCTTAAATCATTTAATGGTTATTATTATAAGAAATATTAACCTACACACGTTGCTTTCCATCTCTTCTTGAATAATCCTCCAATGTTTATCTCATATTTTGTCTTCATGCGTGGTTCCATGTGTGTTGGAGGAAATCAAGATTGTCAAACTCGTGAGTTTAAGTAAATTTATGATAGAGATGTAAACTCAAAATATAAACACAGATCGTAAACTTATAAAAGTTTACCTATATTAATAAATAGCATTTAAAAGTATATAATTAAATAATTAAAATATAAAATATGAACATAATTTATTGAAATTAAATCTATCTATATTTATAGATTATTATACTCAATATAGAAATTTCAAAATATGACAACTAATTCTTGATAATTTTTTCTTTTTTATTAATATTAATTTT